ATTTCGTTATTTATTCTATATATTTTGGTTTTTGTCTTTCACATAAATATGTCCTGCTTTGTTTAACGACAGCTGTAATGTGTTAGATGTTCAATAACGTTTGTTTTCAGCCTGTCATTAATTCAAATACTATAATCTTATTTTTATTTTGCTACCAGCCAGTTATGTTCTACTATTTTTGATGTAAATTCTATTAAAACTACCAATCAGGACATAAGTTGTTCTCTTGCAAATAGTTGTTTGTTATTTGAATAAAAGTGAAAACCGTTTTAAATCTAAATAACAAAACTAAATTACCTCTGTAGCGTTTGTTGTAAAAACTGCATAATAAACTATCTGCGGTAATTCAACCTGGAATTTTACGGTTGTAAGTCACCGTAGATGTATATGAAACACGTAAACTAAATTTTAGCATACGTTTTATTCTCAATTACAGGAGAGAACAACGCATGTTACTTGATTTTTATATTTTAAACGTGCATTTAGAAAATCTTAGTTGAATACATACATATTTAATTTACAAGATATAACACAACAGCGCGTGCCTGACATGAATAACTCGGATAAAACAAAGAACTAAGAAATCGTCCCAGTAAATCTACACGTAACAAATCATGTGGAACATAATAATATAGCAAAACCAAAACCAAACAGGGGTTTTAATATAAAAACTTATTATGTTTTGCAAATATTACAACAACAACCTCACGTAACAAATCACGTGGAACATAATAGTATAGCAAAACCAAAACCAAACAGGGTTTTTAATATAAAAACTTATTATGTTTTGCAAATATTACAACAACAACCTCACGTAACAAATCACGTGGAACATAATAGTATAGCAAAACCAAAACCAAACAGGGTTTTTAATATAAAAACTTGTTATGTTTTGCAAATATTACAACAACAACCTCCCAGTTTGTTTAGTTTGAATATTCGCGATGTGTATTTAAAGTCTATGTTGTTGTTGTTAGTTTATTTAAAAGGATAGTTACGTAAATTCGAAAATGTTCTAAGACGAACAGTTTCTTCTATGATATCAGTCAAGTCTGCACTGATACAAAAACAAAAGTTAGAAAATTTGTCTAACGCGTAATCTTACCACTTTACAACTATTTGTTTACTACCTTTCCCTGTCAACCTTCAGACAATCCACTGACTTTCATTTCATTAACAACCTTCCGTACAGCCTTTGAAACAATCCACCGACTTTTATTTCATTAACAACCTTCCGTACAGCCTTTGAAACAATCCACTGACTTTC